GCAGCAAGATCAAGTATCATACCATGAGCCCAATTGGGGAATTTTCTATCCCCGACAAACTTTTCCAACATGTTCATTTGGATTTAGTTTGGTCCCTGTCACCATGAAATTCCTTCACGCACATCCTCACTGCGATGGACAGATTCACCAGATGAGCCATAGCATGGCCCATAAAAGACCCGTCTGCAGGAAGAGTTGCATCAGTTTTCCTTGATCGCTGGATATCGAACTATGGAGTACCTATTTTGTAAATAGTTTTTGATCGTTTTCGCAATTATTTTGTTTATTTCCACAATGTGTACATTTATCACAAAACGATTGTACTTGTTGTTTAAGTGTGTGACTTTGGCTTACTTACTTGCTTGCTTCCTTCCGTTTTGAATTATGCAAAGCACGACATTGCTAATCGTGCAATATTAAATACATTCTTATGCACATATGCCTCGTTCTATCATGCCTATGGATATAATTACCAAACTTTTAATTAACTATCATCCATATTTATAGACTGTTGTGACATTCCTATTGCATTCTACGTCAGGAAAACTTACTGGAGCCATATTTACCTCATTGGAATTATTAATTATCTATAATTGTGAGTTTTTGGTACCAAGCACAACAGAACACGCAACAGCCAGCTGATTTAAGTAACTTCCCTGAACTTTTATGTTGAGTTAACAACCCATGACTTTGCTTTGTTTATCCATCAATTACAATTTTATGTTCATTAAAAATACAATGTTCGTTTTGTGGTTACGAATAACTCAGCTGGAGAAGAAAATTGAACTAGAAAGTTTACGTCATCAAGAAAGTGAAGGTTTTGTTGAATCCGTATGCAATAGCTAGAATTTAATATTAAGAAATATATGTTAACCAAAGAAAGAGATCTTAAGGTTTGATGGTACGTCGATAAATTACTTAAATTTTATTAGAACTTCCAATGAATGCATCGGAAGTGAGAGTTTTGGGATTAGCGCTAAGCTGAATGACTTGATTCAATATTGTGACGGAGGAGCCACTATCCTTCAGTGTACTATGTTAGAACCTGAGATAGATTATCATTAAGCACTAAAGCTTTTAAAGGAAACGTTTGATCGAAATCACGTCATAGCACGCACGTTTATCGACTACTTTTTAAATTTCCATATGTAAGAACGAATCAACCTGATGGTTTAGGAAAATTTTTTCGAGAAATGCAAGCATGTGGTCTGACTCTCAAACACATGAATTATGTTACCAGCTTGAACTCTTTCGGAACTTTTTGTTCTATGGTTCTGAAATTATCGATGCATATTCAACAAAAGTGGCTTATAAGATTGTCGGAGATCGACAGCTTCTGTTCGTTGATATTACACAGTGGACAGCAATGAGGTTTCGTACATCAAAAAAATCTTAACTCACGCGTTTTTCAGTGTTACGGCTCATATCAAGTGCTGTTTAAATTTACCTTACAGCAAACGCAAACCGATAAAAATATTGTATTGTATTTTCAAAATATGCACTAACGTTGATAGAATATGTTACAATCGGAATAAAAAATTCACGTTGATAAGTAATAAAAAAGTCTTATTAGTATATCGTCCAGAGTCAGGGAGATGTCACTGAACCCTAGCCAAATCTTCCGACAGTCGGGCCACTGAATTTCGAACGGCTCACTGATCCTCCTCAAGGTCAAGAATAACCAACACGCACTCCATACACTGGCCCATGCTATGGTGGCCGCAACTTCTCCTGTGTACCTACTTTTACTAATAAATTTCTGCATAAGGTTCGTTTTTTGTACGGTTTTCAAAGCAGTCGTAATATCCCGATACAACGAGGGTATAGTTCACTGTAGAATTCTTCCTCATATTTCTATGAGAATAGGACCATTTATTAACCAAGTATTGTACAATGAAGTGATCAAATGTTGACACAAACACTGCATTGTGTTTGTTTTACAAACCTATCATCCTATTTAGCAATCCTAGGGCAAAACCATTACTAATGCATTGAATCTACACCTTTTCAGATTCCTATTTCTCTATCTCTTGAGCTGTTAAGAATTATTTCATAATCAGCATTCATTACACCTAATTAACATGGATCTGTCATTCAGCTTTCCTTATACAGCAAATAAACAAATAACGAATGAATGAGGTATTGAAACGATAATTCAACAGTACACATTTGAACAATGAACGTTGTCAATTTCAAATGATATTATCCAGTAAAATGAAACTTCACCAAAATGAACAATCACAACGGATGCATTGTTCATTGTAAATGTCACATAATCACAAGTACACAATACTGATTATTCACAAGTGGAATGTTATAAACTATTGTAAATTTGATCAGTTTTTATTCAATGAAAATAATCAAGTATATATTTATTTATAATCAACAAAATCACATCAATTATTATGTAAACTATGATTAAAAAACAGAAAAAAGCGGGGGGTGAATATTGCTCCATGAAGAACTTTGCAATTTTCTTGAAATCATTCATAAAATAGATAGTGTTTTTTTTTAATAAAACAACCAAACAAAAACAAATTCAGCAGGATAAAAACAAGTCATAAGTGGTTTTGGGAAATCATGCACCAATGTTCATTTTTATTCAAGCTTCATATACTTCACTAATGTGCCACTATTGATTGAATTTGCCTTAACCTTCATCGTAGCTGTTCTGTTATCTAATTTAATAAAATGTACAACAGAAGACACAGGTTATTTTCTCGTTTAATGAGTGTTCAATATAAGAAACTAATTAATATCTGATTCCAGATAGTTACAATGGCAGTCAAACAACATCTTCACAAAATATG